CCGCCGCGCTTAATCGATTTATAAGGCGGTCATCAGATCGCTGCCGCCCTTTCTTTCAAGCATTGAAGTCAAAGTTCTCATGGGACGACGAGTATGACCGAGCTTTGGCCGAGCTCAAGGATTATTTGTCTTCTCCGCCGCTGTTGGTTACACCTAAGCCGGGTGAGAAACTCTTCCTTTACCTTGCCGTCTCCCAGCACGCAGTCAGTGCGGTGCTAGTCCGGGCTGAAGGGATCAAGCACCTCCCAATTTTTTATGTCAGCAAAACTTTGTTACCGGCAGAGTCGAGATACTTGCCATTGGAGAAGCTCGCATTGGCCTTGATGATGGCATCAAGAAAATTGGCGCACTATTTCCACGCCCATACCATCGTTGTACTGACCGAGTTTCCCCTCAAGGCTTTGTTTGAACGCGCGGACTTCTCAGGCCGAATTCTTAAGTGGGCAGTGGAGTTGGGACAATTTGATGTGAAGTTCCAGTCGCGCACCGCCATTAAAGCCCAAACCTTAGCAGATTTTGTCGCCGAGTTCTCACCTGGCACTCATCCGGTATGCCCGGTCGACATTGCCGAGGCAGATGATGAGATGCACGCAATGCCAACCGAGGAACAACCAGTTGAATTAGGTAGCGCCGCGGAGTCAGCGCGCACCATCAAAGTTCCCTCAGTTTGCACGGTCATACCACCCGGTGATGCGATGACGGAGTTGTGTATCACCAACCCATCCACTCTGTCCGGTACCGCATCACCAAGAAGGGAAGAAATTGAACCACACCGCTCAGAACTTGATGATTCGCCTACGGACTTGGGCATTCCGAACCAACTTGCTGAGTCCGGTGCCGAATCATCAAGGGGGGAAGGCATGGTTCCATATAGCTCAGAACCTGCGGCCGGCTTCACACCGCAACCTGATGATTCGCCTACGGACTTAAGCATTACAGAACAACTTGCTGAGTCCGGTGTCGAATCACCAAGGGGCACTGAATTTGAACCGGTCAACACCGAACTTGACACCGCACAGCCGAGCAGTTGTGATCCCATTGCCCTTCGCAACTTTCAGGACCCATCTGACTGCTGGAAGCTTTTTGTGGGGGACATGTGGAAGCTTTTCGTTGATGGAGCGTCCAATCGCCATGGTGCCAGCCTAGGTATTGTTCTTTTATCCCCAGATGGCCTAACCATTGAACATTCTATAACGCTTGGCTTCCCGGCGTCTAACAACGAGGCTGAGTACGAGGCACTTCTCGCCGGGCTCAAGAGCGCAATTCAAATGAAGGCTGCCGAGCTCCTGGTGTACAGTGATTCCCAGCTTGTGGTTAACCAAGTTTCTGGGATTTATGAAGCAAAGGATGAAAGGATGGCGAAGTACCAAGCTCTGGTCAGGGAGCATATCAAGCAGTTTAAGGCAATTAGAGTCCAACAAATTGGCCGGGAAGACAACAGTCGAGCTGATGAACTGGCCGGTCTCGCTTCTATGGTGGATAATACTTTTCCAAACCCTCTTTTGATTGACTTTCTTCCGCGGCCAAGCATTGAACTCGCCGGGGAGACAGATGTACTCTGCGCCGCAGTTGTGTAAACTGACTCTAAACCATCTAATGATTTACTCTCAAAGTAACATATGGTCTAACCTGGAAAATTTTGAAATTGGCCGTCACGTGATCTCTTTACACTTGTTGAACTACCAGATACAATCGCATTAGGTCCTCCCGGAACTACTGACCCTCCATTACTACTTTTACCTTTTACATCCTACAACCAGAATAGAATGTTAGTATCCTACAACCAGAATAGAATGTTAGTATTAATACAGTTGTACAGTCATTCACAAATATAAATCATGGCAAAATATTCATTCTCTTCAAAATTAGTTCAAACCTTGAGCAGATTATATTGTTCCACCCACTTTGATTTTGTGAAATTACATAATGCAAGCTTCTTCAATGTCCTACAACTCCGGGGTGGCTCCGTCGATGGCGGACAACGGAAACTCGTCGTTGTTCGCCATGGACGGCGATCAGACGAGCCTGGAAACAAGGTTTTATCTGTCAAGCTTCCCACAGACGGCGCCAATTGTACGGGGAGCAAATATTCTGGCAAGCCCGTACTCCTTTCTTCCAAGCTCCGTTTCTGTCCGATTACCTGCGAGCACAATAGCGGTGAGCTACCCGGTGGTGTGTGGCCGGAAAACCCCTCCGACGATCAAGTTAGAACACACACAGGGGATAGATAGAGAGAAGGGCTAGTGTTTAGTGTATGTCTCACCAAATGTTCATCTGTCCGCGTATGGGGGGCGCAGACGTGTTTATATACCTTCTGCGCCCCAAATCTACTCCCAGTGTCCTCTCAACACGTGGCACTACTATCCCATCTGTCAGCATAAACCCTGCTGAGCACCACCTAACCCAACTGCCTACCCATTCTCCTAGGAGCTCGGCAGCCGGGCAGTACCATCTCGGCCATCGTCTGCCATGCTACGCTTCATGTCCAAGTACTCCAACAGCTAAGCTCAGATGAGGACCGGACTCGGCGGCATCTCGGCAAAGCCGAGCTCGGGACAACTCACGCTTGTCTACGGTCGACCTACCTGCCGAGCAAAAAGGTACCTCGGTCCAACCTTGCCTTTCGTGGCGCTGGACCTTTCACCTGACCGGCTTCGTAACCACGGATCCTTGCAGCTCGGTCAATCCACGCGCTGCCTTAACCGAGCAGCTTCCTTCAAGGCTGGGCCACACAACTTGGCCCAACACCTGTTCGGCCCAAATCTCTCTGGCACAACTCTGTCCGGCCCAAATCTGTCCGGCACAACTCCACGGCCCAATCCAGATCATAAATCTCCCTCTCAACCCCTAACAAAGAAAGATAAAAAAAAACCCCTTCTGCAAGGAGCTTCTGAAAGGAGGATAGATTCTCCTTGAAAGAAGATGAAGATTGGGGTTGGGTCTCCAGCAAGGGAATGGGCTCTGATAGAGAGAGAGAAAAAGAGAGGGGTTTGTGTTCAAAATTTGAAAATTGAAACAGAGAGAGATTTGAGCAGAGAGAAGCACGTGAGAGAGAGATTTCCAGCCACATTATCTTGAGCTGAGGTGAGAGACATTTTGAACCCTTAGATCTTGATTGTAATTGATCTCAATCATTGAAATGTCTAAATAGGACAAATAAGAGTAAGACATTTTCAGCCCTTGGATTGAAGCAATCTAAAGGTCCAAATTTTGACACATATATATTTTCAATCTTTGAATTCAAACTAACCCTTCCATTGTTATATAGATTTACATATTAAATGTATTTAAAAAATAAAAATATTTAAGAACATTAAAGATATAATTCTAATGAAAACTCTAATTACGTGATAATAGGTGCTGTTAATAAATAATTTAATATATGTGTCTTGTTTTTATTTGTTTTTTTTTTCCTGCTGCATATCACATCATTAGAATCATTCTTAGTTAACTTTAGAGTGATGATTCATTCCATTAATTTTTGGACTATTAATAGTTTTAATGAGCTTAAAAAAAAAAAACAAACAAACAAACTCAAGCCAAAACATCACATCACTTTAGTGGGAGCCATTGTGCCATGTCATTAATGATACTCTAGAACTCCCAATTTAATGCTCTAAAACATTATTGTTAACTTTATAGGAAGCACAAGATAAAAATGTGAAAGTAAAGACATTGAATGTGATGTGACATGATCACTACTCTACTTTTAAAACAATTATTCACCATCGGAAATTTTACTATACAATATATTTATCTCTTTAGACTTTTCAATTAAGATTTTTTTCTTTTAATTTTATAAATAATTACAAACACATCTTTTAAAATTTATTTAAATTATAAATTATTTCATGTGATTTTAAAAATTATATTATATCTCTAAGATTTTTAATTTACTCCGGTTGGAAGAGTTGGCATTTTGTCCAACTTTGGATTCCCAACCGAGATGTTGTACTCCGGTTGGAAGCGTTGGTGTCTTGTCCAACTTAGGATTCCCAATCGAGATGGTGTACTCCGGTTGGAAGTGTTGATTTGTTCAACTTTGTTACAGCCGAGATGGCTATTTCGGTTCATGAATTGGTCTTGTTCTGCTGAAGTACTTAGACCGTGTTATGTATTCCGGTTCGATGAGTTATACCGAGATGTTTTGCTGAAGACAGAACTGATTACAACCGTGCATACACTTGCAAAAATTTGAATTTTCATTGATAAGAAATTCATTACAAAAAGTGGGGACCAAGCCCGGTTACATCAGCAGTGTTGAAAGCAAAAATACAAAATAGAAGAAAATTAAACTAGAGGGGATAGATGAGTGAATTCGTCCTCGCCGGCTTCAAGGTCAACGGTTGTACCGGTATCTTGTTCACCGGGCTCCTCATTGCCGGGCTGCTCTTGCACCTCGGCCTCTTCCTCAGAATTTGTCTCCCCGTCCCCATCTTCAAGTCCCTCCTCGGCCTCAGTCTGTAAAGCGCTGAAAACATCGTTGGCATATGGCACGAGATAGACCGGTAGTGAAGCTTTGGGAGGATTGGCAAAAACGTCGGTGTCAGAGCCCTGGCCGAGCTGTTCGCAAGCGGATTTCCAGCCAGCCTTGAAATATATGTCTTGTGTTGCAAAGACTTGCTTCTGGTAATTCTTCTCGGCCTCGTTGAAACCCGCGTTGTTGGCAGCCCGGCAAGCCTTCCTCTTCGCCTTCTTCAGAGTGTCAACCTCGGCCTGGAGCTCGCTATGTTTTTTCTCGGCTGCATTCAGTTGACCCAGCAGCCTGTTATTATCAGCGTTGGCCATCTCAAGGGAAGCCTTAACCAGCCTTTGCTTTCTGCACTTCAGAACAACTTCCCAGCGATCTCATACGCCCGTTGTCTGTGCTGCAATCCCTGATGTTCGGTTCTGTCTCACTCGTACGTCCGTACTGATGTTTGGCAGTGCTTTTGGCTTTCTGCCTAAGCCGGTGGATGCGCTCCAAGACCAAATGTTGTTTCTAAATGGCCTGCACAAAGAAGCAAAGTACATCAGGAGGGGGACCGAGCAAGAAGGACCGAGCAAACACTTATGAAATGTTAAAAAGAACGCCGACTTACCCTGGCCATGGACTTCACGGAAGATTTTACCAGCCGGGTGTCAGGGACGTGGTCACTGTCTACCACGTCGCTCGGTAGGAGAAATGCTTTGGAGAGATCGAAGGCGAGCAAGTGTTCTTTGTCAGCCTTGATCGAAGCAGTCGCCGGGATGTCCTGTCCCCGGTGCTTCAGCTGAGGACGCCAAGCGGGCACGGGAGCAGGAGTTTCAGCTGGATGTTCGGTTGTCAGCTCGGCGACGAGCTCGGCGGAGGGATCTGCCCTTGGTCTTTTTCCAGCCCGGCGCGCTTCTCTGGCAGATTGCCCGGCAGCTGGAGCTGGAGAAGCAAGGGCTACCACGGCTGCACTCGATTGACCGGCAGCCGGGGAGCGGGTGGTTACGCTCGGTATCTCGGCTGAGGTCGCGGTTAGAAGGTTTTTGATCGGAGATCTTTTGGCCATTTCTTGCTCGTTGGTTAACCGGATTAATGGGACGTCTGGTAGGGTTGGATCTGGAGGAGGCGAAGGAGCTCTGAGAAAGTCGGTTACTCTACTCCGGCGCGGAGCAGAATATCTGTAAGTCAGTGTGTAACCGAGCAATTCGTTGCAGTCTCGGTGACGGTACCTCAGCACGGCCCGAATTGCCTCGACGTTGGGGAATTGGTAGTTGGCTTGCAAGACTTGGATAGCTGCAAAAGAAACAGGGAAACCGGTTAGTTAAACTAAAGAATTAAGTTCACCGAGCAAGTTTGAGTGGCTTACATGAAGAACCGAAGTCCTTGCTTATGAACCAGCCCGGCACCTCGACTGTTTCGTAATTGCCGGACACCCAAAAAAAATCATCGTCGTGCATATCTTTGTCCGGGGTGCCGGTTACGATTTTTTCTTTGCCCGGTCTTATTTTCAAGTAGTAAGCTAGGCCGTCACCGGTGTGGCCCATTGTGTATTGCCTGAATATCTCGGCTAGGCCTAAGTTGGTGCCTAGCCGTTGGTTCAATTCGTGAACGCCGTTGATTATTCTATAAGTGTTGGTGGACACCTGTGTGGGTGCCAACCCGGTGCGGCGGAGGAACTCGGTTATAAGAGGGTTGAGCGGGAAACGAAGACCCCCTTCAACGATGGATAGCACGGTGAAGGGGCACTCCTCCCTACCCCCAGGCTTTGATCACGACCATGAGGAGTCTTACTCCTCACCCTTGTTTTACTTTAACCTCTCACAACAAATGCCTTTGAATGAGAACCCACTGATTTCCTTCTAGTTTCTTTATTTAACAAGCTACTAGTGACTTGGCTCATTGTGACAACTCCAACAGGCGCCGAATTACTAAATGTCATAACCAAAGTCTCCAAACTTTCGAGTAAAGAACTAAATAGCATCAAAGCTGCAACTCATCATCAAAAATAATTTTCATAGAAGCAAGTTGGTTAACAATACTCTTTATTTCATTCAAATGTTCTGGAATAGGGCTGCCATCTTTATATTTTAAATTAACCAACTTACGAAACAAAAAGGCTTTATTTGTGGCTAATTTCCTATCATAAGGCCTTCTCATTTTTTCCATAAATCATGTGCTGAAGTTTCAGTAGCAACATGATGAAACACACTGTCATCAATCCATTGACGGATAACACCAACGACTTTTCGATTAAGCCTATTTCATTCATCATCTTTCATACCCTCGGGTTTGCCACTATCACTCTCAATGGGTCCATACAAATCTTTACAAAATAATAGGTCCTCCATTTTAGTTTTTCAAGTTACCCAATTGCCTCCATTGAAGCTAGACATACGACCCACATTCCCCTCCATTGATTTACACAAATAAATAGACCCAAATAAACCGTAAGCTCTGATACCAGTTGTTAAGGAAAATATGTGATTCCCACAAGTAAATCAATCAATGGGAATAAAAAACTAATGTGGAAAAATTAAATAAAAACAATAAAAGAATTTTTACGTGGTTCCCTCAATATGAGGTACGTCCACGGGATCGAAATCCGATTCCACTATCAACCAAATAAGTTTCCAAACAATTATAAACGAGACACCAATGGTCTCACAAAATCACCCTTAGGTGAATTCCAAATAATCACAAATAAACAAAGAGGAAAGACCTCACCAAATAGATGAACCAAAATCTTCAGAATCAGAGTTGAAGAAAATCCAAAATAGCGAACTAAATCATCCAACTATGAAGCCGAAACCAAAGAAGTCAACCGAAGATTCCACACTGAGAGGGTAATTTATGATCTGGGGTTGGGCCGAGATATTGACCGATCAGGTTGAGAGCCCAGCAGCGCATTGGGCCGAGATGATCCACTGTTCGCCCAGAGAAGGGGAGCCAAAACTTGGGCCGGGCAGAGTTTGGACCGAGTGTGTGCCACCCCGGACCGTACAGAAATTGCTCGGCCGGGAAGCGACCGGTCAGACCGGGATGTTCTTTCCAAGGATGGCCAAAGCCGGATTGACCGAGTGACCGGCGCCCAGGAAGGCATGGACAACCGAGGAAGTTGAGTGGCCGGTGCCCGGAAAAGGCATGGTCAGCCGAGGAGACTGTATGGTCGGCAGGAAGGCCGATCGAAGTATCCGGGCTAGGCTCGGCCGGGATGCCGCTTAGCCCGGCCCTCCGTGTTTCTATCCGGTTAGGCGCTTG